TATACGAGGGACTAATATGCAAATAGTAAAATCTTAAATTCTTTCCACCATCCCCATATTCTGAAGTGTAATTCACTTTAGTCACTGTATGCAATTTGGCCTTTGGATTTTCGATTTATTCGATTTAGTCAATGTTTACACTTTTATATTTTGTAAATTAACCCCCTAATGTTTTTTATTTTCTATTGCAGTACACTTTTAAAATTCATACCGGTCCATGAATTCCAATCTCGTTCAATTTGATCCTTTTTTATTATTTTTATTTTATTTCTCATTATTTTACTCTTTCTATATTTTTTCTTTTTTATTATTTTGTTTTCATTGTCGATATTATATATATTTTATTTATTTTATCTTTCTTCTTACTTACCTTTTTTCTTTTTTTGTTCTTTTTTATATTATTATCCTTTTTCATTATTTTTTTATTTATTTATTTTTCATCTAACATTTTTTATTTTTTCTTTTAGAAGAATTTCTACCAATCAAATGTAAGTAATTTGAATCGAGCTTTTTAAATTTTAATTTTAAATTTTTGCAATTAAGACAACCGACAAATTAATTGGTACCGAAAGGGCGGTTCAAGGGTGCTAATCATTCCTTGACCGTAACCGACTCCCGAACCCGACACGTTTCTGGTAAAACGCATATCAGGTAAGATGCCTACCTAAATATTTTTTAAAATAGTCGGTGACGACTCTAACCCAATTCATTCAAATCGAAATCCAATTCCGGATCCAACCGAAAGACGATTCCGACAGAGTTTAAGAAAAACTAAATTAATATACTAATTGCGTACACGAAGGTTTTTGTCGTTCAAAAAAGATAAAAGCTAAATATAAGAAAATTTTAATAACAATCCTCCACTGTTCTGCTTCTTAGACGATTGGATAGCCAAAAGCAAATAAAAAGGTTAAAATATTTAAATTCCACCCAATATTTTCTGTATACTTTTAATCAACGGTCGATTACGTGAAAGATAATTTACTTTTCCATCATATTTAAAAAACTATTATACGTATTATCTTAATCAATTTGATGCATGTATTTATTAAATTAGTGTAAAATGTTTAAAAGATAATATGAATTCCTTATCATAATTCATTATAATTTTAAAAAATAAAAGAAATAATAAAATCTATTATCTTTTGAACGTTTCTACTTAAGAGAAGTGAAAAAAAATCTGTTACACTTTCGGTTCTTAATTTATTTATTATTTTTAATTTGTTTAATACAAATTATTTTGTGTGATGTTTAATAAATAAAAGTATTAAATTTGTTAAATTCGTCAAATGATGTAAATGGTAAAAAGTAATATTATTCTCCTTAAAAGTTTTGAGTTTGAGCAGTTGCGTTTGTAGGATGTCCGTACATTGTCAATTGATTAATAAAGTTCTGAACATATATTATTTTGTAATCACTACATACTATTCAAAGAAATATGTCAAATTTATAGGGTGGGTGTGCGTTGTTTGTGACTGGTATTGGAGGAATCGTAGAAAATGTGTATCCCAACCTACCCTTGAAGTTAGGGGTGTGTAAATCCGGGTACCCACAACACCCGGGTCGGTGATTTCTCAGCCCATGTCCCGACCCGATAATCGGGTACCTGGATTTTGCAAGTACTCGTATTTCGGGTATCTAGTACCCATTTTTCTTTCATTTTCAAATTATTAATTTAAAAAAATATATACACAAATTTAAATGTTTGAAACTTCGAATTACATACTCCAACGTCCGAACATAAAATTTAATAGTTCGAAATACAAAATCAATAATCCATAATATAAAGAATCTATTATATATATATATAACCGGGTACCCAGAAAACTTCAATTTTGTGACCTAGGCTCGACCCGAGAAATGTCAGGTCGGGTACCCGACTCGGCCGGATAAATTTTTTAAGAAAATTACCCGGTTTTTAGAGGTCCAGGTCAACGGATCGGGTAGTTTTGTACACCTGTACTTGGAGGTTGTCCCGTTGCTGACGAAGGATAGTTCTAGTTCTGCTTTGGAAGCATTTTATTAGTTTTTTTTATCCTCTTTGTTCATTATATATATATATATATATATATATATATATATATAATTTGTTTAAAAGGAAAATATAGGTATCATAATTGTAAAAATGATAAATTCAAGTATTAATTTGGTTCAAAAAGAAAATACATGTAATATATTTGTAAAAAGTGATAAACTTATGTGCCAAATGATATATTAGTCCTTTTATTTTGGGTAAACTACCATCTTAGTCGATAAAAAAATTATAGGATATTTTTTTATTGAGTATTCAACTAAGAAAAATTATAAAATCATTGCTAGATTAAAATAATTAATAAATTAATCTTTTGTATTAAAAACGTAGGGGCAAATGATATAACATTTAATAAAAGTAGCATAATAATAAATTTAACTATAAGGAAAACTACAAATTTTTACTATTTATTTTAATGTAATGTTAATTTTAAAAGATTAACCTTTAGAATTTTATTTTATTTTCATCAATATTACAACTCATTTTCTATTTGTTTTTGTTTTTTTACTATTAGATCTTCATATTTGATTCATTTGTTTTACTATTTAAATTATTTTCAGGTCTTCAAAAGAGAAAAAATGTTTTAGATGAGCAGTCCGGTAAACTCAATCGTTTTCCTGTACTTCTAATGTTGATTTGGTATGATCATGGATGAACTTCATTCAAGTTTTGGTTTAATAATTCAAATAATGGTAATCGATCGATTGACCCTAATATCTCATAAAGCACGTGATATACTTTATTCAAGTCCATTGGTAGTTGTTAATACGTCATATTCTAATTTATTTATTCTTTTACATCTATTCCCATCTGCTCCGCGTTAAAATAAATTTAGCAAATGAGTAAATTGATTTCCCCCCTCTCACATGACAAGTTTGAATAAACTATAGATAATTAAGTTATGATAATCATCATTATAATAGCCTTACCGACTTATGTTGTAATTGGATTAAGTGAAGTAAGGTCCCGCGTGGATACAAATATAGAATATTTCATATTAAGGGATAAATTTTCAAAATTTTAAGAGAATATATTTTTAAAATTTTAGATCATCAAAATAAATTATAAATAAAAAATATATCTAAAATATATTATAGTTTAAAAATTTTAAGTGGACTGCCATCTCGTTCCATCATTAGGGCACGAGGCTTTGGAAACCCATTATTTACAGCATCTTTATATTGCGATTTTTGAGCAAGAATTTTATATGTATTCTTGTTGTTTCCAATCCTTGCAATTGTAACTAACACTCGTTTATGGAAGAGGAGCAAAGGAGGCTTGGCCTCGGGTCATCCCCTCCAAATCCCTCCCTGAATGTCCAAAATGTAAGGCTTTTCCAAGGGTTTTGGATCCCTTCTCAACGTGTTCCTTCCATCTTATCATTTCCAAGCTCTTGATGATGACATCATCGACGCCAGCAAGCCCAAAGCCGGCACTACTTGGCTCAAGGCTCTGGTGTTTACCCTTGTAAACCGCCGCTACACCTTCTCAAACTCCCCCTTGAACTATGCAAACCCTCACGAACTGGTTCCTTATTTCAAGGTCAATCTTTACAAGCAAAACCCTAATCCAAATCTCTCTAATATCCCATCCCCAAGGCTCTTCTCTATTCATCTTCCCCATACAATGTTGGCCGATTCCATCAAACGTTCGAATTGCCGGATTGTTTATATAGTCCGGAATCCTTCGACATCAATGTCTCACAGTGGCACTTTCTTAAAGGTAGGCTAGATATGGCTGATTGGCCTTTGGAGGGCTGTTTCGAGTTATTTTGCAGAGGTGAAGAAGCATTTGGACTTTTATGGGTCCGTGATTTAGGGTACTGGAAAGAAAGCATGGTGAAGCCATGGAATGTGTTGTTTATGGGATATGAGGAGCTTAAGGAAGACCCAGTGGGTCAAACGAAGAGATTGGATGATTTTCAGGGTTTCCTTTCTCCATGGAAGAAGAAGAAGAAGAAGAAAGAGGTTGGATTAAACAAATCGCTGATTTCTGCCGCTTCAACAATCTGAAAAATTTGGAGGTTAACAAAAGTGGGAAAATCACAGGATCTAAATTACCAAGTAATAAGCTGTTTTTCAGGATAGGCGTAGTAGGTGATCATGTTAATCATCTCGGTCCTGCTTCCGTGGAACGTTTCACTAACATTTTGGAAGAATAACTAAGTGGGTCTGGTTTCACCTTCAAGTGATTTTCTTAATAATATCTCATGCTTGATGCTTATTTAAATGTAATTTAACCTTCAATGTTTTCCCTTTGTTTGTAAAATGTTGTTGTATATGTTCCTTTGGTTTTATAACTACATGGTGTTGCATGTTTACTAGTAAAATTACGTTTTCACCATAATTTTTGTATTGTTAATTTCCTAGACTAAGGCGCAAACGGCCAATCACCTCATTTCAGATTATTATTATTATTATACACCATTCTATGTAATGTATAAATTTAATAAGGGATAAAATTATAAATATTCTTAAATTAATTTAATATTTAATTTTTATAAAGATTCTAAGAAATATTTTCTTTTATCTTTAGAATATAATTTTTACCCAAGATAAAATTTACTTTTCTTTTTGGAAAATACAATCATCTTTTCAGCTATCCCAAACAATAAATTCATATACATTTATGTGATTAATTCTAGTATTCTATTCTTCATCATTTAACATGATCAAATCATTTGGCAATTCACATTGTCAGTAAATAATTTTATAAATTACAGTAAAAATAATAATAACGTATTTATATGTCGATAATTATGCCCTTAAGTCGAGTTTTGTGTTTAAGAAAAAAATTAAACTCCGAATCTTCATTATTGAGTGGAATTCATAACTATAGATCATTTTAACCTTGTATCCCTTCCCAATTTGACAATATGCTGAATTCTTGCATAAAATAAGGGGAAATAGTTGTAAATACATTAACCAACTAAATTTTTAGGTTCATCATCCTTAAATCTAATAACTCTTCATCCAACCCTGACAAAGAATATGCTCAGCTCTGGACCAGAGTTACCATCCGGATTCATCATGTAATAAGTTTCCGAATCTCTAGAATTAATGACACGTTCGAAATACGCACGCATGTATCTCAATTCTCCATCGGAATTCTCCAAAGCTTCCGTCGGTATCACACCGGCCCCCGTCGAAACAGCCTTCAAAGTTTGCAGCACCATTAAGTCTTCATCGCTCGGTTCTCTCTTTACACCGTACCCTGACTTTCTACCATTGCAAAACAATGTCCATATAGGTTCATTAAGGATCTTAATCTTCTCCAATGGACGCTTTTCACATTCTAAAGCAATCCGAACAAGCCCCGATCCCATCTCCTGGAGGAGTTTTCCGGTTGTTATAGCGAGCTCGAGTACTAAAACAGGGAGACACCCAGAGTTTTCTTGGATGGCAAGGTTAACCCTAGCTTTTCGGTACCCAAATAGGGTTCCGGTCATCCGTGTCCCTCCGTGCATATGGTTTCCGTGGAGACTGACAGGGATATTGCACGTTGGCGTTATGATCGGAAAGGACCTGAAAACGGAGCGAAAACGCTTGAACCATTTCGAGGGTTTTGAAGATCCTTTCTTATTTGATGGTTGTTGCAAGGAGATTATGGGTGAGGTTAACGCCGTAGTATTGGATGACCCGACGGTGCTAGGTGACGGAGGTGGAAAAGATGGAATGTTTTGAGCAGCCATCGACAGCGGAGGGTGTTTGTATTTGATGTTGAGAATGGCGTTTAAATATCTGAGTGTTCATGGCATGCACGTTATTGAGGCGTTGGAAGTGAGATATTAAAATTTTTATTTGAATTTATATTAATTCCAAGGGGTTGGTTTAGTTGACTGAAGAATGAAGATAGCTTTCTTCTCGTGTTTTTTTAATATTTTATTTTTCAGCGTTGAATTATTTTTAAAATATGATTTTATTTATTGGTTTTAATTGTAATGTTTTAGTAGACTTGTCTTTAAATTTATTCAATAATTATATGTTATATTGCCCATTGAGAAGTTTTTCCGACAAAATTAGCTTAACCAATCCGCAAGTATTAAATTCATTTCTTTAGTCTAATAATATTTAGATTTTTAGTTATTAATTTTTTTTAATAAATGTAGAATGAATATACATATTTATTTTATATATTCAAAATTTAAATTTATATTATTTAGATTAATAATAATTTTAGATATTCAGATTGGTTTTATAGATAAAATTATTTAATTAAAAATTAAATAGTAAATATTCAAAATTCATACATAGGTAAATATTTTTATTTTATTTTATTTAAATATTTTAATATGATTCATAATAATATCAAACACATTTTGTAAATATTAAATCTAAATTATTTAAAAACTTTATTTTATTGAGATCACTAGTTGAATTCTTCATTTTTGTTTTTTAAAATAATAATTACCTGCAAATGGACTTTCTTGATTGGAACGGTTTCAGCCGTCCAATATGTCAAACCATATCTTTATTGATAATTAAAGTTTGATGGTAAACTTAATTAACAATTATAAACGTGTCCTAGGTATTTGCTTTGAAGATTGTTTATAGGATAAATTGTTTAAATGATTACTCAATTTTTTTAAAATTATCAATCTAGTCATTGAAACAAAAATTTAATTATCATATTTAAAACTTCACTATTCATTGATCATAAATTTTGTCTTCACACCTGACCTTTTTGCCAAAACTTCTACACCTAACTATGCTTAACCAAACTAAGGAGTTTGTTATATGATTGGAAATAAATAATATTAACGGTATGAAATACAACTGTAAGGGTGTTTGAGATTTCATTGTCGAATGACGGAAAATCTTTAGAATATATATTACTTTGTAATCACCCTAGATTAATAAAAAAAAGTTTTACTTCAAAACACATAAAATAATTCTGTAAACCTTTCCCTTTGAGCCCTCTTTCCATAATTCTTTGTGACATTTTTGCTTAGAATTGTGGGTTTAACATACCGGAAAGTCTCGAACGTTGATATCAATCTTGTTGAAAGCGAGGTTCGCGATCATTCGATCGATGGTATTGGTCTCTGGTTCTGTTGTTTCCTTTTTCCCAGACCTGAAAAATATCAAAATTATCATTTCAACAAGAACGTGCATAAACATTACAAGGTAAGAGTTGAAATGAAGAGTGGAAGCAATAGTAGTACTACCATGTTCAGCAACTGGAGAATGAATTGACATGAGAAAATTACTTGAAAGTACTGCAAATTGTAGTAGAAGGCTAAAGGTCGAACCTTATTTTGTCCTCCGAGATTGCCCACTTCGGAGAATGAGTTTGAGCACGGTGGTTTCCGTGTTGGTCTAGTGCTATAGGGTTCCGTTTCGAGTTCTTGGCAAGACCATAGAAGGCATCTCGGAAGCAAATTCGAGTCTTATCAGACAACTGAATAAATTGAAATATGGAGTTTGTATCAGCAGTTGATCACTTCTTATAAGAAGTATTATTGATGAAACAAATTTATATTTATGTTTTACCTGTGTCATCACCATTTCAAGCTCCTTCAAAACCGATTCTTCAAGCGACATCCCTCTCGACACAAATCCGTTTGCTGTTATCTGTACAGAAGGGACCAAAGTTTTGGCAGGAGATGCCTTGTGCAAAAGTTACATCCATTAGTTAATCTTATAAAATTGGGAACTATATTAAATTTTCACAACAAAAACATAGGATGATGCAATGTATGTCTGGCTAAATGTCTTGGTTATTTCTAAAGGTTCTCCGAAGCTTCATCGGATTCTGCAACCGAGTTTATTTGCTAGTATTGGTTTTAGTTAATTTCGAACTTCTAAGCCTTCATCACATTTCCCCCAAGTACGGATACTCTTTTCTGATGCAAAGACCAGAGTAAATGCAAGGCATTCAGCTATATCTTCATGTCCCTAACATAAGCATATATTCTGAAAAATAGTTATCCGATTTTCGAAAATTCGACTTGTAAATGTTGCGGAATACGACTATCGGATAGAGCAAAATCGCAATAATTTGAAAAAATAAAAATGAAAATAAAGAAGACACATATTTTACGGGGAAAACTCCTAAATAATATAGGGTAAAAACCACAGGCAAAAGATAGAAGAATTTCACTATGAGAAAATAGGAATTACAGCTTCTTGCGATCTAACAAGGATAAAACAATGACAATTTTCTCTTAATAAAAAGGAGAAAACAACTCTCAATAAAACTCTCTAGTATTGGGAGAAAGCTAGAATGATTTGGGATGATTTTTGAAGCTAAATAAGTTAGGATATTTATAGTTGAAGTTTAAGGATTAATATTAGAAATACACTAAAGTATAGGGACTAAATGAGCAATTTTCGCATTTATTTTTTTCAACAATTGCTGCCAAATTGGACCAAAAGTTTGGCCAAGTTGGGCATCGAATTCACTAGTCGTGAATTGTTGAAACCACCGAATTCACTAGTTGTGAATTGTTGACTTTCAACAATCTCCCACTTGAAGATATTGGAATAATCATATATTCACACCATTCTTTCTACCTTGTACCTTCATGTTGCTTACGTCTCTGACAGGCCACAAGAGAATCGACACCAAGTAAATTTATCAGCATTGCTTGCCTTCGTTATGAAATCTGCTATGTTGTATTTGGTATGGATTTTCTGCATATCTACCGTCCTTTCTTCCACTTTTTCACGAATGAAATGGTATTGAACTCGTATGTGTTTTTTCCTTGAATGAAATGTTGGATTCCTTGCTAAATGCAAGGCGCTTTGGCTGTCACAAAACAGAGAGACATACTCTTGATTGTGCCCAAGCTCTTCCAATAGCATCTTCAACCAAATTGCTTATTTACCGGCTTGTGTAGCTGCTACATATTCTGCATCTGTTGTGGACGTAGCCACAACAATTGCAATTTTGAAACCCAGCTTACAGCTTCACCAGCAACTTTGAACACATATCCTGTAGTAGATTTGTTTTTATCCAAATCCCCTACATAGTCATAATCGACATACCCATTGATAGGTAAGTTTGATCCTCCGTAACATAATACAACATATGAGGTCCTTTTGATGTATCTCATGATCCTCTTTATTGTATTCCAATGTTATTTGCATGGATTCGTCATATACCGACTAACCACTCTCACTGCTTGTGTAATGTCTGGTCTTGTGCATATCATAGCGAACAATAAACTTCCCACTGCCGATGCATACGGTAGTCGACATCTTCATCATCTCTTCTTCACTGATAGGACTCATACTGGACGATAATTTGAAGTTAATAGGAAGAGAGGTATAAATTGGCTTACAATCTTGCATTTTGACTCATGACAAGATCTTCTTCAAGTAATTCTTTTGTGAAAGCCAAATCTTCTTATTACTTCCGTCTCGGTGAATTTGCATCCCTAGAATCTTGTTTGTTGATCCCAAGTCCTTTATATCAAATTCCCTAGCCAGTTGTACATTTAATTCTTCAATATGATCTTTGGTGGGTCCTGCAACCAACATGTCATCCACATACAACATCAATATAACAAAATCGTTATCACCAAACCTCTTGAAATATGCACAAGGGTCTGCATTAAGTCTGTTGTATCTAAGGCACATAATGAAGGAATCAAATCTCTTATACCAACACCTCGACGCTTGCTTTAGACCGTACATAAATTTGTTCAACCTACAAACCAAGTTCTTTTTTCTTTTTCTTCAAAACCTTCAGGCTTGAGCATATAAATCACTTCTTCAAGATTTTCATGAAGAAAAGTTGTTTTAACATCTAGCTGTTTTAGATGTAAGTTCAATGTAGCACACATTGTCAAGACTACTCGAATTGTTGTTATTCGAACCACAGGAGAAAAGATTTCATTGAAATCAATACATTCTTTTTGAGCATATCATTTGACCACCAGTCTTGAACGATACCTCTTAACTTGATCGTAACCATTTCGCTTGATTTTGAAGACCCATTTGTTACCAATTAGCTTCCTTCCTTGTGGTAGTGGCACACTGTCCCATGTATTATTTTTATGAATGACTTCAATTTCTTCTTGCATTGCCATCATCTACAGTGAAGCATCTAAGGTGTTTATTGTCTCCTGGTATGTTGATGGCTCATTGTCCTCTGTTAAAAGGCAGTATGCAATATTTCCTTCTATAGCATAATCTGAGTGCCAATTGGGACGTCTTTTCACACGATCTGATTGACGAGTTGTTGGAGCTTCAGAACTCTTTAGTTCTTGTTCATCATGTGCTAGTTCTGTTTCAGAAGAATCTCCTTGTTCAAACTCCTTTTCCACATGTATATGTGTAGTCTCTGACTTTTCAGCGCTATCATCGTCTTCTTTTCTTTGTAGTTTATCTTCTATAAAGATAACATCCCTGCTGATGATCACATTGCAGGCAGTGGGATCCCACAAACGATACACATTTACTCCATCAATACAATTTGGTGAGATGATCCTATATCATTCTAGTTTTCTTCTTCTCCTCGAGGCTTGACAATATTTCATTTGCTAATGCTAGATGAAAGTTTGTCATAGCATTTTCGTTCATTTCGATCCATTTGTTGTCATCTGTGAAGTCTACCGACCTTTCATTGATAGCTGCTAGACAACCTGTTGGATTTTCGGAAGCTCGAATCGACAACCGGAATGGTTTGCAAAGAAGGGTCGGAACGGTTTTTTGTTTAGGGAGTAAGGAGATTGAAAGGTAGAGAATTATACAACGATTTATAGTGGTTCGACTTTCTCAACCAAAGTTTACGTCCACTACCTTAGCTCCTCACCAAGGATTTTCCAACAAATTCACTAATTTGTTCTTTCTTTTGAGGATAAAGAGTAACCTTACAAACTCCCTAGTTTTTCCAGGCTAAACTAGAACCTTTCCCTAGCTTTTACACGGGATAAGCTAGAACATTTCCCCTTTACAAAAAGATAAAATAAGTAAACAAGAAAACCTCTCTAAGGTAGGTGTTTACAAGATTGAGCTCACAAGAACAAAAATATTTACAAGAGAAAGATGAAATAAGATTGAAAAACTCTTCTCTTGTGTTTGATTGCTTGGATAGTTGTTCTCTTACTTTTTTAAGTGTCCTTAGCTTGTATTTATAGATTGGAATGTGTTTGATGTTGTATATAGCCGTTGGGGATGTTTTGGAGCCGTTTGGGGATGATTTTTCTACTCAAAAAGGCTGCCCATAACATGATGCATCGATGCACTATCAAAGTGCATCGATACCCCTTCATTAAATTCAAATAAACTAGCTGTTACTAGCCGTTGCAGCCTTGATGCATGGATGCATGGCAGGATGCATCGATGCATGGATGGATGCATCGATGCATGGATGGATGCATCAATGCACTAAGTGCATTCGATGTTTGAGTGCATGGATGCATTGCATGATGCATAGATGCATTAGTGCAGGTGCATCGATGCACTGCAGGGATGCATGGATGCACTTTGACACCCTTTAGCATTTTGGCTCAAATCCGATTTTAATAGACTTTGAATTATTTTTGAAACCTTTTAAAACTTTGAATAAATTCAATTAAGTCCAAAAATATTTTGTAAATTCAATTTAAGTCCAAAAACATTTTGCCTTAAATTGTTATATCAAAACATAGTTCAACACAACCGTCTTTTCTCAGGATGACTTTCATCTTCAATTTCCACAATGAGAAATTTCTCTCATTGAACTTTTCAATATCAAATTTCGTTGACATAGCTTCTATTACGAATAACTCCAACTATTTCACTATCGTGAATATTTCTCTGGAACCTTCAAAGAATGGGTAATACCTTCTTACTTTCTTATGTTGGAGGATCCACCTTTTGGTGATAACCACAAAGATAATAAGTAGATATTACACACTCAAATCTGGCTCTTGATACTAATTGTTGCAGAATACGGCTATCGGATAGAGCAAAATCGCAGCTGATAATTTGAGAAAATAAAAATGAAGATAAAGAAGACACGGATTTTACGTGAAAAACCCCTAAATAATATAGGGTAAAAACCACGAGCAAAAGATAGAAGAATTTCACTATGAAAAAATAGGAATTACAACTTCTCTCGATTTAACAAGGAGAAAACAATGACAATTCTCTGTTGATAAAAAGGAGAAAACAACTCTCAAGAAAACTCTCTAAATTCTCTAACATTGGGAGAAAGCTAAAATGATTTGAGATGATTTTGAAGCTAAATGAGTTAGGGTATTTATAGTTGAAGCTTAAGGACTAATCTTATAAATATTCTAAAATACAAGGGACTAAATGAACAATTTTTCCATTTTTTTCAACAATTGCTGTCAAATTAGACCAAAAGTTTGGCCAAGTTGGGCACCGAATTCAGTAGCTGTGAATTGTTGGACTTTCAACATTAAGGCATAATACTTCCAATTTTGGAAATACAATAAACATGCACGATATGCATTAATAACATACTGGAGGCTAGTATTCAAAATAATTTTGGTTCACCTTCACATACTACTAACTATGTTCATTGTTTGAAGTACTTTGAAAATCCGAACTTACATTCCGCAGAACATAATCAGCTGTCATTGTCTCGCACTCGTATCCAGGAGAAACGCAAAACGATTTGCCAAGATCATCGCTCCAAGTCGAATCTTCTTCTAATAAGGAACCCCTGCAAAATGGAGAAACTCGAAGAATGATGACGAGAAAGTACTATACCACATGATCTCAAAGATAAAACATCGAAACAGAAAGTAAATTTGACAATATCATAAAAGAGATCAGATCAAAATGAACAACCAACTTCACCTACAGGAAGATATATTAGATCCTTTTCGTTATTTTCGGATTCGTTTTGTTGTAACCATTCGTGATGGTGGCTACCAATTTCAATGATGAACAAATAGTTTTAAACAGAATCATATTGACCAAACCTTTCGAACACTTCAATTTTCATGGGATGTCTGAACATGTTGTTATTCATAACTATAAGATATCATAATTCCAGAGGTTAAGCTAGTACAAGAATATGTCATCAAGCTGCTCAATCTGACGAAATCATGGGGCTGGTGATCCGTTTGGTGCTGGAAAAGTCGAGCCTGACTCGTCGGCAACCCACTATATGTACTCGAACATGTAGATGGATCGTTAACATCGGCTGTGGATTCGAATTCAACGTTGTGGCATAATCTGCCATTGAAATTTCCAGGAGAATTGAAACCCCATTTCGACCAACTTTCTGGTGAAGTGAAATTATCTTCTACTTCTTGATGTTTCGGGACAACAAGATCATCCATAACATTACAATGATACCAATCCATGTTTATTTTACTGAAAATAACAAAAAGCCATATTACAAAACAAACAAACAAAATCATTATCTGTAATGAAAACTTATTACTGAAAAATTAAGAACAGAACAGAATAAGAAAACTAAGGGATTTGACGGAGGCAAAACTTGTAGCGAATTAGGTGAGAAAATGAAGACAACCCAATTCTTTGATTCACAAAAACAGATGGAAATGATTGAAAACTTAAATGGGTTCTAGTTGGAATTAGTAGAGCTATAAGCCTTAAAAGCACCAAACTTTATCAGGAAACGAAAAGGCGGCTGTGGTATTTGTTTTCTCAGCAAAGAAACAAGTTGCAAATGAAAGGGAAATGCAGATTCATAGGAGACATGAAAAGATTTCGAGTGCTGTTTACACTTATTCTTTTTAAAAAAAGGCCAGAGAAAATAATTTTTTGGCTGAGAATTAAACTGGAATTGATTAGTGGCTGGAAATCCTCCATCTAAAACAACATTCTCATTGCTCCACATGTAAGGAGCTTATTCTACCTTCTAATCCTCCAACCATTACTTCAGGATTTTGGTAACCATTGTCGCTGACACGTGGCTCTTGTGGTCCTTTACTAAATGCCACGTAATAAGCTAAATTATTTGTGTTAATATATTTTGGAGTCATGGGCGGTTGCATAAAAAAGTTATGGACTATGATGTTGGAAGCCTGTAAAAGGCTCAGACCAATAGACTATTGTTTAAGCTTTAATGTCAGGCCCAGTGGAATCAGATCCGAGAATAACAAAAATAAGATGCGGTGAGCGTGGATCGAATACGAGACCTTCCGATCATCAGTGTGACGCTCTCCCAACTGAGCTATCCCCGCACGTGTCAATTCTTCTGATTTTATAATATTTAACTATAAAGTGAATTCGTCTTTCATACTTTTAAACAATCTTTTTTATTTAAATATAAATAAAAAAATTATGAAGAGGGTTGGGTCTTTTTTTTAATTATATATATATATATATTTGTGATAGGTAAGAGTTCGAATTTATTTTATTTTAGTTGTTATCACTATTTTCAGTTTTTAACATGTTGCTTGCTTTTATAGTGTCCAGATTAATAAGTTGGGTGCTGTCAGGATTTATGGAATGGTTGAGAAGCTACAAGTGTCTCAAGAGATTAGGGAGAAAGTATATATTCTTTTTCAACTAATACTTACCCAGTGCACTTCTATGTTCTTTAATCAATTGACCAGATCATCTTTTAACCTGCAGATTTCTCAGTTGGAACTTCTTCTTTTAAAGAGATTATCTGCAATTATAAGAAGAGGCCGTAGTGTCATTTTCTTTCCTTGCTGCCTGCTTATTCTCTTCATTAACTAGTTAGGTCCATGCCCTGGATCACCCTAAAGTCACTTTTTTCCTGATATGTCGCCAATGAAAGTATGTATCTGCAAAGCACAACGTATATGTGTCTCCATTGCCACCATCCAAGCTTCTTATTTTATCTCATCCTTTTTTTTTTCCATTGAGTGATCAAATTTTGATTTACTAGAAAATTAGGCTAGTAAGTTTAAGGTTTGACCATCTTGTCGGAACAAAATGAACCCTGTTTCTCATTTTGTTTTCGTTTACAGATGGATGCTCTAATTTCACATTACACCAGAAGCTATTATGCTAAAGGCCTATGCTAAACAGATCAGGCCTGGCGTCCTTTAATTAGGTGATGTTGGAAGCCTTATAAAATGGCTCACTAAATAGACTATTCTTTAAGTTTTAATGTCAGGCCCAGTGGAATCAGTTCCCAGAATAATAAAAAAAACAACATTACTTGAAAATGCGGTGAGCGTGGATCGAACACGCGACCTTCAGATCTTCAGTCTGACGCTCTCCCAACTGAGCTATCCCCGCACATGTCAATTCCTCTGATTTTATAATATTTAAACATAAAGTCATTCGTCATACCACTTTATTATTTAAATTCAAAATAAAAAATTATGAAGAGATGAAAATTGAAGAGGGTTGGGTCTGTTTTTTTTCATATTTGTGCTAGGTAAGGGTTCGGATTTGTTTTGTTTTAGATGTAATTATATATTTTTTATTTATATATATAATTAGATTTGTTTATTTATATTTTTATTAAAATTAAAGTTTATACTTCATATTTTTTTTACATAAAAATGATGTAATATTATTTTGTTATATAAAATAAATTATTTTAAATAAATTTATTATAAAGATAAATATATTATAAAAATTCTCCTAACATTTGATAAAATAATTACTTTGCTCCCTATTTTCAAAAGTATTTTAGCAACAACATTTATGGTTAAATTCGCTTCTCCTTTTTTCTAAAAGGTTATTTTGTGGTCATGTGACATCTATTTTACTACCTACCTATGTCACTTAAATCAATTAGGCGAAGGGAATGCAGGCTGATTTGTGCACTTGAGCCTTATATGCAAGTTACAAGTGGGTGCCCTTTCTTTTATTTCATGTTGTAGATTAGAGTATGTGTGTGTAGCTTTGTAATGGCTTTAGTGCTTCTATCTTTTTCTTAATATAAACAATGATTTGCTAAAATTGATGGCTTACTTTTTAAAATGCATGGTTAAAAAATATATTGCTTCTCAGCCATCAATTTACGTTCTGTAAGTGTGTAGGTTCTGCAGTGTCCTTCCTTAAATTGCCTTGAACCCTGTCTGAAACTGACATATTGAAGATGTTTTCATTGAGTATTTATTTCCCTCACAACGGTAGGTGGTGTATTATACAAGATGAACATATTGTGCAGATTTAAGCAATATAACACGGGTTGTTGTAGAATAACCGGTACCTCTCCGTCGAGCTTAAGGATGTTAGTTTCACTACTTATGAAACTTGGCGTATCAAATTGAATAAAACGTTGCTCCATTGTTAACTCCAATGCCTATTCTAAACAGATTAGATTAGGCCTGGCGTTTTTTAATTAGGTAAATAATAGATGGGTGAAATGATTAATAAACGAATGCAAAGTACGATTTTAGAAAATCATAGTATCGCATGCTTACCATACTTTACTTTCAGTCTTCCAACATCAAAGATTAAAATTAAAACATTTTACGGAAATAAATGAACATTACCTACAATTCTTATCCGTCTCTTCCACATAAAACACTACCAAATACACACTTTTCTCATTATGTTAAATTAAACATTTGCGCTGGCCTACTGTGTTTCCGTCCATTGGGGCTCACTCCAGCAGTTTCAAGGGATATGTCGATGCACCGATGCTGTGTTGCACGAGCAATGCTGATACGCAAAAGAATTCTCCAAGCCGTACAGGCATCCGTCCCAACATCTGCAGATCCTTCTGCAGGGAATTCCCTTGACGCTATTGATATTGATTCCCGAAATGTGAGGATCGTCTGTGACCAGTGAGTTTTAGGTGTATGTGGTGATGTAGACGAAACGGTTGGTGATTCTTTGCAGAACCGGCTGGTAAATCCTGTGTCAAACCATAAAACAACCCCATAACATGAGGTTGCCTTGTGATCCATATTATCGAACTTTGCTTCTAACTCCGCAGTCGCATTGAAATCTACTTCATCGGGTTTCATAGTTGCAAGGTCAAAGCTATGAAGTAAAACACGGTCAGTCACAACCCACATACATAGATCATATACTCGCTGAAATCTAGGCTGATATTGCGAAGGATACAAAGATGATATGAACGAATAACTGCTGGGTTTTTATAGTCGATATAAATATATTGTCCAAATATAGAAATAATAAGTGGCAAACTAACTGCCGAAACCAGGATAGCAATTATCATTGGCCATCTGTAAGATACATTTAATGAAACTCTCAGCAAAGCATATTGTCCCACACAAGCCACCTAAAACACTTAAAATTTCTGGTGACGAACGAGCCTAAATGAGAAAAGAGGTATAAACATAAACAGAACTACTTAAACCAAATTAATTAATATGGAAATATGAAAATAAAACGTGGGAAAGGTAAGACGGCGTTTAAAATGTAGGGGCAAGGGTAATTTTCATTATGATGGATTGGGCACATCACTAACACATGCATGCATGCATAAAAGCAGGCCACTTTAATTGTCAAAATATTGAAGGAGAGCAAATTTTGGCTAAAACTTTAGGCATCCTTCTATATGTTGATCCCAATACAGCATATACGCAGAATTTGTGGATAACAAATTCCAAATAGATTCAAGCTTAGAAATTAGCCAAAATGTACACTTAAAAGATAAAAAAACCATATATGAAACTATCAAGCTATTTGTCAAGATAAAAGCAATATATAAGCAACTTTTTTTTATTTTACTTTAGTTACGAACTATGTTGCACGGATACGGATACGGGGACGGATACGGGGACGGGAAACGGCAATTTTGAAAATTACAGGGTACGGGGACGGCAAGGGTACAACATATAAAATAATTTAAAATTATAAATATATATAAAAAATCATAAATAATGTCAAAAATCAAGACTCAAACAACAATATTAAGTTTATAACAGTAAAATCCATAAACAAACAACAACATTAAAATGTCAAATTTCAATATTCAAACCATAATATTAACTCTAGAATAATAAAATTCATAATAAAATTATAATATTAAAGTGTCAAATCTTAAGACTTGAACCATAATATTAAGTCTAGAAAAATATTAAATTCAAATCAAATATTATTAACATCTTTTGA